TTATTATTGCATTCACAGCAATGGAATGTACTATTATCGTACAGATATTGGTGGTATTTTGTGATTGTCGATGAAGTATAAGTAAATGGCCATTAGTACACCAGGCTGTTTTTAATTGTTCAAATATAGGAAAAGAAAAGGAAGAAGAACAGTCAGTATTCGCATGATATAGAATCGGTTTTGTTATTTCATTTATTTTGAATTTCTAAGGATACAGTAAACAGTCGTTTAATATTCCAGATATAGGATAAATTGATGAAATATTTTCTATATTTTTACCTCGTTTTATCTAAAGGTCGCTTTATACACGGATATATATATATATATATATAAATATATATATATATATATATATGTGTGTGTTTGTGTGTGTGTGTGCGTGTGCGTATATATACACACAAATTCTTATATATATATATATATATATATATATATATATAATTAGAATTCATATAAGTAAAAAGATTTGTTACTTTGCTGATATGTTGTTACCGTCAGCATCCCGACTACAGAGTTTCGGAGACGGACCCACCCGTCCACTCGTCAGGGGATATCAGCTATTAACTGCTTATATTTGTCGGTTTTTTCTTTTTAATATTCTTATCGTTGGTGCAAGTTTTTTTTTCTGTGTTTTTTTTTTGTGTGTGTATATGTGTGTGTCTATGTGTATGTTTGCGCTCGTGCGGCCATGCATCCGTCTCTGCGGATATGCGTACATATAGGGTGTCGTGATTATTTGCCCTTTTCTTCGTTTTTTTATCCACTTCACACTCACTCCTTAGCTTTTTTTTTTTCTATATTTTTCCCTTTCCTCTTTTCTTTTCAATTGTAGTTAATTGTTTCTATTAATTTCCGTATTTTTTTAAGCTTTATATATATATATATATATATATATATATATATATATATATATATATATATATATATATCTACCATTTAATCCCCAATCAATGTTTTCTCACCTTCCCTTCGATAACAATTTTTATAGACAAAAATTTAGTTTACCGATGAGAGTCTCCTCGTAGTGGCGTTTTGGCTTGTCTATTTTTGGAATTTCTGGAAAGTGGTCCTTTCAGAAATATTTACTACATTGTTACTAATAACAACCTTCAGTTGAAGGTTTGCAGAAAATCTGCCAACAAGAATGACCTCATCAATTTTTATTCCCACCACTGCAACAGGATAGCATCTAGAATAATTATAAGATTCTATTGAAGAGCACTAAGAATCTGCACACGCCAATACTTATCCGAAGAAGGAGCATACATAGAAAAAAAAATTTCAATATCCTCATTATTTTATCCACAACGCTAAGAGAAAGGTATACAACCGCAAAAAGATAATAACATATTCCCAACAATAACAATGACTATAATCTAGGTAAAAACAGATATAAAATACTACCTACTAACTCCCTAACATCTACTATCAAAAACAATTTATCCAATCTTAACAATATCAAAAAAATTACAATCGTATGCAATTGGATATGTATTATATAGGAATAAAGTGTCACTGCCGACACTTGAGTTTGTACATGGATCGCCATTTCTAGTCTATCCTCTATTATTATACGGATCGCCATTTCTAGTCTATCCTCTATTACTATACGGATCGCCATTTCTAGTCTATACTCTGTTACTATACAGACGTCCATTCGCTACTTTATACTATTTCTCTATACTGATCATTATAGGGATTACTATTCGAGCGAGTATTATCGAGCAAGTACTATTAGTAAGAGTGTTATTTCAAGGCGTCTGGCACCAGTATTGTTTAACGGGGATACTATTGTTGTATCTGTGATTACAAAGTCTCTACTACAACGAGCATTACAAAAGTGACAACGAATATTCATTGACATTACAAAAGTGGCAACGGGTGTTCGTTGACATCACAAAAATATGGTCAAAACTAAAAATACCCTTAACAATAAAAATTCTGAAGCAGGTATATATAAAATAAATCGCCAGAAATGCTCCTCACAATATATTGGGGAAACTTGAAGAAATTTATAAAACGTATCTGTGAACACAAAAGGGATCTTATACACAACAATTTATTAAATGTATTAGTTATACATAGAAATAAATTCAACCCCAACTTTGATCTAATGAATGCCACACTTATAAAGAAAGTAACTTATTTAGAAGGAAAATTCTCGAGAGTGGCGCTACTGAATTTTATGAAATTATAAATCTGCGCTCCGGATGTTTTTAAATATCTCCTTTCCTGAAAGAATGACTCTTTTACCAAGCCAATATACATAACTATAAAACGGTTAAATTCATAACTTCCTGTTATTTAAGATATGTAATATATAAATTTATCCGGTATTAAAATAATCTAAATATTAATTGCATAAAATATTCAACATCATTTACTCATTTTCGTTTATTAGACATTAAATTATGTCACTTAGCATCCTCCATAATTTACCTAAACTTTTCAGTTAACCTGATGAATATTTATGAGTGTTTTGAAAAATTAACATTTTTAATTTTGTTTATAAATACTTGTTGCAAAATAAGATCCTTGCATTTGCCTTGATGAAGTCCATCAGAGGACGAAACGCGTTGGCTAAGAAAAATTTGGTCTTTTTTCTTTCATAGATATCATTATCGAAACGCAGTACCTAAGGTTTAAAATGAATTTTATTTTAATTTTAATTTTAATTTCAAGCTAGTAAATTAAATTTAACATTTTCAGTAAATAAAATTTTCTGTACTTCATAACGTATTTATATTGATTGGAAAGAAATACATTTTTTTTAACGTAGCGTTAGTTATTATTTGAGGTTTGGACAGCTCTATTGAAAACCTGAGAGCACTTTTGACAGCAGGGAATAGAACTAATTTTTTTTTCTACGGGAGACATATTGCTTAACAAATATAACGTGAGCGCCTTGTTTACAAATCTTTTTTTAACTATATAGTAATCTCAAAAATTTAGGAAAATATTCTTCACAATCTAATATTTTATTGAATTTTAGGTATTTTATTTGAAATTTACTACAGTTATTGGTCTTATTTCTGATAATGTCGTGTATGGACGTCCGTATTTACAAAACTCGGTACGTTTATACTCACATACAAAAAAATTATAAATTCTTTTTAAAATATTGTGGATCGCTGAATTGTGTTTTTCCATTTATGAATAGTAAATATAGTTTTTATTTAATAAGAATATGAGCTAACCAGTACAAGTTAATTAAAAGATTTAAAACTTTATAAATTATTCTAATTAAAATTTAAAAAAAAAATGAAAACAATTCTTGTAAAAATTCATTATTCATCGAAAAATCGTTTTTTCTTAAGACAATAGTGTCCATAATATACACACACACACATATATATATATATATATATATATATATATATATATATATTTCTTAAAAGCAAATGCAATTAAAAATATTTCTAATTAAATAATGTATTAGTTTTATTGTATTTTTTTTTATTTTACGATTCAGAACAAATTTTCGGTAATCAGTCCTGTTTTTTTAAAAAAAAAAAAAAAAAGAAAGAAAGAAAATGATTTAATTTTTCAAAAATTTGATTTTTGCAAGAATTTGCAAGTCAATATGTCAATCACCGCAAAAAAAAAACAAAAAAAACAAACAAAAAAACCCGCTAAATATGATATATTAATTTATAGATACCTGCTGACGCAAGGAAAAAATTTTCATCCAAATTCTTGAAGGTTCTAAACAAGATTAAAAAATATTTAATAAGCAGAAATTCCTTTGATCTTTCCTTTTAATAATAAGAAAGTTTTTGACGATAATTTTTTAAGTTTCGAGTATTTTTTTCATCATGCATGCTCTTTTTTTAACGAATCTTTGAAAGTACTTATATATATATATATATATATATATATTATTATTATTATTATTATTATTATTATATATATATATATATATATATATATATATATATATATACACACAAAAATATATATATACATACAAATATATATATATATATATATATATATATATATATATATATATATATATATACCAGTTTTGAATTCGGATTGAAAGTTGATTATCGAACATTTCATCATCAGTATGCCTATGCGCTTTTAGAGAAACATCTTTTTTTTTACTATGTTAGGCGAAAAGCTGAACACATAGACCTGATGTCTCCTTTCAATTCTCGTGAGATTCGCGCCACACCGCCAATTTTCTTCATTTGTTTTTCAATTTCATCTTGTTTTATTTTCAACTCTTCTTTCCTTTACACACCAACAAGCGATTTCTAATTTGCTTAAGAGCGTATTTGTTTGATTTGCAAAGCAAGTTTCTCTCTCTCTCTCTCTCTCTTTCTCTCTCTTTCTCTCTCTCTCTCGCTATCTTTCTCTCTTTATATTTCACGGTTCTTTAATGTTTCAAAAAAAGAAAAGGGAAATATGTCAGAAATTTAAAACGGCTTTGATGTGTCATGCTTTGCCTAGTGGATTAAAACAAGCAACAAAAACATTGCTAACGCCAATCAAAGAAAGCGTCTTGAAGTGCAATAGTCGCCATTTTGTTTTGTACTGTACACATGGCCACACGTTGCCGCCTTTTCTTTTTCCTTTTTTTTTATTAATCGTTATTCTTAATTCAATTTTCCAACAGCTAAATAAATATGAACAATGGAAATTGCATTATCTAAGAAAATGCAAAAGAGAGAAGAATGGGGTGGCGGGATGGAAGATAAGACATCGATTAACGATTCAAAAGAAATTGCGATCGGTTTTTGTGTGGAAGAGATTTTTGCTTCTTCTTCATTTTGGGGACATTTTAGAAAATATGTTATCGATTTTTATAGACAAAACCCCAAAGAAAACGACGAAATTTTCATTGGCAATTGAGTGGACATTCTAACATAACAAGTAAATAAATAAGACATTCATAGTGATAAACTTGTGGGAGTCTTTGATTGTTTTGGCTAATGGACGCAGTTAGTAGGCAGGCAGATCGGAGAGAGAAAGGGTAGGGTAAAAATCAAAACGGCATGAAAGAAAGAAAGAAAGAAAGAAAGATAGATAGATAGATAGATAGATCTGCAGGGACAGACAGAAAGAAAGAAAAAAAGAAAGAAAGAAAGAGGCTAGTAGAAAGTGTGAATGAAAGAAATGAAGACATGAAAAAAGAAAGAAAACTAAAAATGAAGGAGATTAAATCGAGAGAAAAGGAAACAAAACAAAAAGAAAGAGAAATAAAAAGAAGAAAGGACGAAAGACAGACAGAAAAAAGCAAAATAAGAAAAGAAGAAAGTAAAAGAAACAATAAAAAGAAAGAATATTTGAAAGAAAAAGCAAAGAAAAAAGGAGAATTACAGTAGAAGAAAGAAAGACGCAAAGAAAGAAGATTAGAAGAAAGTATAAAAGGAAAGAAACAAAGAAGAAAGGGAAGGAGAAAAGAAAAATGAAGAGAAAGCAATAATGAAAGAGAGAAAAGAAAAAAAAGAGGAGGAAAGACAGAAGAAAAGGAAACAAAAACGAAAGAAAAGGGAGAATGAAGGCAAGATTAATAAAGAAAGACAGAAAGAAGCAAAAAAGAAGAAAGTAAAAGAAACAAGAAAAAGAAAGAAAGAAGTGACGAAAAAGGAAAAGAAAAATGAATCTGAGGAAAGAGGGAGGAAAGGAAACAAAAAGAAAGAAAAAAGAGAAAGAATGCAGAATAAAGAAAGAAAGACAGAAAGAAACAAAAATGAAAAGAAGTAAAAGAAAGAAAGAAGATAAGACAAAAAAGAAAGAAAGAGAAAAATGAATCTGAGGAGAGATACCTTTTCTCGAAAAGGAAACTGTCGTAACCTAGAAAAGGTTACTGAATAAGGAATAACCAAAACGGAGGTTGGGAATGAAATAATAATCTTTATAATATCAACAAAATACAATACTCGCCAGCGGCGTGAAGTAGGTAAACCACTTCAAGTGGTGGACTACTTGGACAGCATATTACCCCCCACTTACAATAGTGTCCAACATACTTATGAGGATTGCGAGGTACCTATTAGTGTTCACAGATACGTTATGTAACAGAAACACAAATGAAAGAAAAAGGAGAATGAAGTGTGGATGAAGAAAGAAAGACAGAAAAAGCAAAGAAAGAAAAAGAAAGAAAGAAACAAAACAAACATGAGTCGAAAAAAGACAGAAAATTAAAAATGAACCTGATTAACGATAGGGAAAAGGAATCAATTATCATGATGTTATTGATAAAAACAAAAAAAAGAGGGCACAGAAGACAATCTTTCGGCAGTGGGCAAGTGACTGACGCCGAGCCGACAGATCAGGACCAATAATATTGCTGATTCTTCTTTGCATCTTATCAAAGACGGGCCATATATAGCAGGACATATTCTCAGCATAGACGAATGGCAGACCTATAGATATGCAAGATAGATTCTGGAGAGAAAAATGGTCTCGCACGACACAGTGAACCACCTTTCTTAGCAGTTGACCTAACAATTAATTCAGTATTATATTTCTACTTTACGTCATCTGAGAATGTGTCTGAGAAGACGCAACGATCCACTTTCCTGGAGGATAGCATCAGCCATGCTGATGTGAGGTATATCGGGGTCTTTCAGCTGATTAATGGAAAGAAGTTTAGTTTTGGAGGCATTAAAAATAACAAGCCATCTTTTGCCCCAGTTAACGACGGTCTTGAGGTCGATTTGGACGTCAGCCGCCATTTTGACCTTGTCGGACTGATCAGCCTTACTATCAAGGCAGGAGTAAATGGTAGTGTCATCAACGTAGGTGCGAAGTTGGGAGCTGATGTCACGGGATTAAAAACAGCATAGAACCAAGGATGTTGCCCTGGGGGTCACCTGCATTAACACGAAAAGATGTAGACGAATGGCCGTTCAGGACAACTTTCATTTCACGATTTTATAAGACTGACTGGTTTGGTTTGGTTTGTTTTGTTTTATGGCACATCAACCTCAATGGGTCATTTAATGCCGACAACTTTTTTTTTCCTGGTAATATTTCTGTTAATATTTTTTCCTCAAAAATTTATAGCTGGTAACATCATCTTTTCAAAAACGTATAGCTGGCAATATTATCTTTTCAAAAAACAGCTGGCAACATTATTTTTTGAAAAACGTACAGCTGGCAACATTTTTTCAAAAACGTATTATCAGAAGCCTTGCTGTTGGACGTAGTTTATCGTCATATCCAGGACGCGGATGTAGTTTATCGCCCTACCCAGGACGAAGAATAACTGGATTAGCTCAAAAATGTACCCGGAGATACCGTAACCTTTCAGCTTGTGGAGAAGACCTGAATGCCAGACCTTGTCAAAGGCTTTCGAGATGTCCAATGCTACAGCTCAAGCTTCACCGTCTAGAGCATGATAGTCTATTTCCGCAATTATCGTTATTACATCAGCAGTGGCTTTGGAAAAACGAAAGTCGTATTGCTTGTCTGAGAAAAGTTCCTGAAAAAGATGATGAACCAATTTGGCATTAATTAGGGCCACTAGGAGTTACCCAAAAAGAGGTAGAAATCTAAGAGGCCGGTAGCTGGAAGGGTCGGACGGTTTACCAGAGGTCTTAAAAACTGGAAACACAGACGATGACTTCCATCAAGCCGAAAAGCAGGAGGCAGCGAGACATTAATTATACAGTTTAGAGAGAACAGGATCCAGTTCGGGAGGACACTTGTTAATGATAATTCCAGAGATGCCATCGGGCCCACGTACTTTGCGAAAACCTAAAGACCATGGTTAGAGATTATAGCAGAAACCACGAAAAGGGTTATTATGCATATCATTCAACAGAAAATCAGTTCTAAGTGGTAAGTTAGGCAGGGACACTCCAGATGAGTCATGAGTAGAGTTTGAGAAGAATTTACTGACAAAACATTCTGCTTTATCAGCAGAGGATGAGAACACCTTAAGTCGATTGAAGAATAGAGATCTTGCATTATTTAGTCGATTGGGAATAGAGACCTTGCACTTATTTTGTACTCTATTTCACAGACGCCAGTAATCACGAGAGACAAAGATTTTAGAGACTGCACAGTGCCTCATTCTTTCAGCAAACAGGGACTTAGCACCTTCGAGGACTTGCTTACATTTCTTACGAGCAGAAACGAATAAGCGCCTGTTGTGATGAGAGCTGTCACGCTGGTATAGCCGGAAATAGTGGCTTCTGTGTGTTATAGCGGCCGAGCATGCTGGTGTTAACTATGAAGAGGATTGCGGTTTCATCTGGTATTTCCGAGAGCGGATGAAAGCGTCCATGTCAGCTTTAACGTAATCAGTATGCTGATAACGGAAAGAGAGCTTTATGGATAGGGTGTTCCTTTTTAATGGATGCTTGGAATAAAATATAAATAGCTACCACAGAATGGTTCATATTACCAAGAGGGCAGTATTGCGAAGCTCGGCAAGAGCGAGGAAAGGAAGTAAGTAAATCAAGTAGAGAAGCCCCTTGCTCGGTTTGGCTAGGGAAATAAGTAGGGAAATCCACAATTTGAGTAAAGGATTAGTCAATGGAAAAATTTAATGCCTGTATACAGGCAACATCAGTACATTTAGAATGTTTCAACTACGTGTCGTGGTGAGCATTAAAGTCACCGAAGACAAAGATGTTCGCAGATGGATTGAGACAAAGTGTCTTTTCTATACTGTCAGCTATTGTGTCTAATATACTGCAGTCTTGGGAAGAGGCGGGGAGCGATAAAGGAAAAGAAGATGGCTGACGGAATTTAGTAGCGAAAGAAGGAAGCACGTGAAAGATTAGTTAGTGGCCTCGAGAGACAATAAATATAGTTTTCGTTTAATATAAAGTGGAAGTGTGCTCGAAATAAAGTCCCTGTAGACAGCTCCTGTAGGACATGCTGGGGGAACATATGGACCTACCAGACAGTCACCTACAATTCCAGCCCACACGTTAATCGTAAACTGATGCTGGTGTCTAGCCTGTATTGTACCACTGGGATTCCGATCAGCCCACAAATGTTGGTTGTGTAAATTTATCATTCCATCTCTTCCAAATGATGCCTTATCCGTAAACAAGACTGAAGTGACGAATAAAGGATCGGCAATTTCTGCAATAAACTATCGGAAATAAATTTCCCGTGTCGAGTAATTAGAGGGTGGAAGAAGGTGCAACGGTTGCAAATGCTACGGATGCAGGAGCACCTCTTGAATTACCCTCCATGCGATACTATGAATATACGATATGCTAGGGTCACTTGACGCGTGCTGATCCCTGGATCGTCTCCGGCAGTCTATAGAATGTGTTCTTCGTAGTCAGGCGTAGGAGAGGATCTCGGTCTTCCTCGATCCATAGTTTATAGTACCACGTATCCTGTCTCAGCAAAGCGACAATAAGCAGAATCAAGGGTTGGATAACTCGGCTGCTTTTGATCTGGAAACGCAACCTGATACAGACGTGCAGCCTCGCGTCCATTAAACCTTGGCGTGGCCGTATGTCAAAAATCATATCTGCCTGTTCGCAATATGAATCTCTTGCCATTGTTAAACGGAACACTTCTCAGTTAACTCATTACTACACAGGTTAAACGTTGAAGACAGACTAGCCACAAATATACACGAATGGCAAATGTAACCAAGTCTTTATGGCGACACAGCACTAGCTACCAGAAACGTCTTTTAAACTTAATAACTCAATAACGAAGGATTAGTGGACATAGACAGCGATTTCTACTCAAACACAGTTGTATATATATATATATATATATATATATATATATATATATATATTATACAGGTTTTTTCAAAAAATTTGATATCATTTCGCAATCTAATAACTTTGTTAGATCTCTTTCAAATGATTTCAAATTTTAATAGCATCTTTATGTTTAATGTTTGTTTTATGTCTTTATGTTTTTGTGTTTTTCTTATTTGTATTTTTATGTTCTTTAATCTTTAATCTTTTTCTTTCCAGGTATAAAAATGCCGTGTCTCAGGCGGTGCGCATATTCAACATTTGTGAAATCGTTCACATAATCCACATGCCTTTGAATTTCTCATTCAGATTTGGAAGAATAAATCTTATGATCTTCAACATTAATACTTTTTAATTTCATTTGCCTTAATCATGTACTTTCTGTGATATTTACATCTCAAAGAATATCAAATTTTTTGAAACACCCTGTATAGATAGATAGATAGATAGATATAGACATATATATATATGTTTGTGTGTGTATGTATATATGTGTGTATATGTATGTATATATGTGTGTGCGTGTCTGTATGTATATTTGTGTGTGTATGAATATATATTTGCATATATATGTGTAAATATATGTATATGTCTGTGTATGTCTATGTATGTATATATATATATGTGTGTGTGTGTATATATATATGTGTGTGTGTGAGTGTCTATGTAACATTCAGGTATTTTACTTTTCTTTTCGTACTCATATGGCGTATATAATGATGGCCTGATGATTGCGTTTAGCATGAAACAGTCTGTCGCCTCTAAGTATTGAGTTCAATCTTCACTTATATATATATATATATATATATATATGAAGAAATGTAGACACCTGAGGATTGCGTCTAGCATGAAACAGCCTGTGGCCTCTAACTGTTGACTTCAATATTCACTTTATATATATATATATATATATATATATATATATATAGGAGGCATGGGAAAGTAATGGAATGAGGGATTGCATTCAATTAGAAGAGTTATGAATCCATCTCTTCTCCTCCACCCAGCTAATGATAAATAGCAGGACTGACTGGGTTGTATAGCCGTGAGTGGCAACCGGTCTAGGAGAAGAACAACTCTGAATTCAAAAGATGCGCATTGGGGAACATGTGGCATACTGTGCACTAGTTCTTTGTATTTGTCTCTTCCAAAAAGTGTGATTGCTTCTGCCCAAGCCTTCACCACTAGAATCAAATGATATGTGCGGTTAGTCTGGCTGTTGGTTCTAAGAACCGAGCTGTTTGACCCTCGGGCATTGAAAAAGATGGGAGAGTTCAGTATACATGATTAATACTAATATAAAATTCGTCATTTAGCTGATTGATAATATTTTTAGCATCCCGACTCCAGAGTTTCGTAGACGAACCTTTTTGAAATCGTTCGGCCCAGGAGGTATCAGGAAATGTTTGCTAATTTTCTCAATTTCGATATTTTTATATCGAGTTTTTTTTTTCTTTTCTTCTTTGTGTGTTTTTGTGTGTGGATATAATAGATCGATCAATGAAATTCGAGATATATAAAAAAAAAACAACAAATATAATAAGATTGATAATAAGACTAATAATATAAATTGTATATTAGTAAACCTGTGTCCATTCTCAACGAAAAATAAAAAAATAAAGTATGAATCCTATTTGTCATATCACTATATATATATATATATATATATATGACAATAGGAAAACTGTAATAGCTGCCGATGCGTTTCGTCCAATGTGAACTTTCTCAAGGCAAAAAACGAAATTTATTTAAACAAAGTAACTAATAATGAGAAAACAAAATGTCCTTAGCAACTGGAAGAATTTAGAGAACGCTATTTTCATATTGTTAACTGAAAATTACTGTCACGTGTGGAGATATTTTTGTTATTGCTGTGTTGCTATGATTCAACCATTTTATTTTGATTTCACGATATTGTTGTGTACGTTTGTTTGGGAGAGTAGTAACTCTGTTAAGAAAGGTAAAATAGGGAAAAAACCTGGGCGTAGATTAATATTTGGATAATATTCAATGGCGGCACTCTTGAGGATTTTCCTTCTGAGTTATTTTCTTTTTTTTTTATGATTGTAGCATTTTTAAAATCAAAATTGTAGTTGAATTTTTTCTATGTATGACTAGTGCATTAGCTAAGTTGTTTTTTCTGAGGTCTCTTTTGAGCTCATAAATGTGTTTTTTTTAATTTCTTCTTGTTTCTCCAATATATTGATAATATTAGTAGTCAATATATATGTGCACATATGTGTATGTCTATGTGTATATGTTTGTATGTGTATATGTATGCATGTGTGTATGTCTATTTATATATATGTGCACACGTATATGTATATGTATGTATGTGAGAGTGTGTATAGATATGTTGTTATGTATGTGTGCATATACGTATATGTTTTGGGGCATATAAATAGTAGGTCTTTACCAGATTAATTTTTCTTTAATTTTTAATATGTTGATGTTAAATTTGTAATCTGTAGGTGATATTGCTTTGTCTAATTATTCTTGATTACACATCAGTTCTCTTATAAATGCCCTCGTTTTTCGTTTGCCCTCACCCCCCTTTTTTTTCTTCTCTCTCATCTTCTCTTTTCTTGTATACATAAGGTTAGTAATGTAAAGCAGACGGAAAATGTTTACATATACATCGGCAGTATGAATTGGCTGGATTTTAAGTGTAGATCATATCGTTTTTTAATGTGCGTAGTGTCACTATAAATGTATCCACACGTTTCCGGTGTCGGTTTTTTTAATTTTAGGTCAGTGAATCGGTAGTGATTTATCAGAAAATAATTCATATTTATCTGTATCTCCCTCATTTAAACCGTTATTTAACTCCTCTCTTTAAAACTTCTCTCTGTCAAATTTGAATCCCCACCTTCACCTTAAGGCTTTTCCTGTTCTTCTTTCTTCCATTACACCCTCTCTCTAGAGCTTTCAGACATTTCCCTCTCACACTTGTTTCCCACTCCCACACATACACTCTCACTAAAAAAATTTGTTTTTTTCTAAAATACAATTTCAACTTTACGGTTTTTAAGCTTGTTTTTCTTATCATTTTCATTACAGCTTTTTTTTTTTTCTGTTTCAGATTTTTTTTAAAATTTAGATTATTGACGCGGAAAAGGCACGGTGGAGTAATGGATAATGGCTCGGATTGAGGAAATAGAGAGCCGAGTTCGAATTCCAGTCAGATCCATTACATTTACTTACAGTAATAATTCGTTGGTATATAATAATCCGTTGGTATATAATCCAAGTGAATCCTAATAATATAAAATATTAAAACTGATTCACAAAAAGAGCTCAATGTATTTATTGATACAGAGCATATAAATTCCATAGAATATGAATCCAAAGTGAGTCAAAATAGCTATTCGAATGGGGTAATTTTGGATCCCTATTCTATGTAATATATATGTATATATATATATATATATATATATATATATAGAGAGAGAGAGAGAGAGAGAGAGAGAGAGCAATCCTAATGAAAACATTTTATAAAACATGCATACAACAAACTATTTCTAATTTTAGCAGTTAAAATATAATCCTTGAAAATGGCTAAATCTATAGCCGAAAGCGCTTAGATAAAAAGAACATTCGGGCAGTTTTTATATATTTTATTATCCGAAAAGAAAAAAACTTATTAGATCGCTTGAGAAATTGTATAAAAAAACTAATTAAAAGCACCTTGTCTGTCGTTTTCAATGAAATGCATATATATATATATATATATATATATATATATATATATATATATAGTGTATTGGGCAGCAGATCATTATTCAAATATATATTGTTAAATATAACAGAGAACGAATATCTATTATGTTTGATCATTAGCCGTTCTAAGCTTCGTATAGTGCCTTTAGTTTCGGGATATTTTTTATTATGCTGTTGGGTAGTGTTTTCCCTATTTTCTCCTGAATCTAAAGCCACTATACGAAGCTTAGAACGGCTCATGATCAAACATAAACAGGAGTTTATTCAGTCATTAGCTGATTGATCAGGCGATTCAAATAGGAAAATTGTGAGATTATCATGGCCCCGGCTATTAAATATATCACTCTGATGAAGATAATTGCGATGACCTGTCACCCAGGTTTAATATACACCCGTTCTAACTAAACTGACGTTGAAAAAAAAAGTTCAAATTAATTAAAATCTAATCTCTACAATGATGTGTTCATTCCATTGACTTAAATCATGTTCCACCCCGTCAACGTAGATTTTGTTTTTCTGAAATAAAATCATTTTTCTGAAAACACCAGATCACTAGCGAAACATCTCAAAGAATTTTAGCGCAACATGTCAAGGAAATTTTCTTTTTCTAAATTTCTATTGTACGAAATAAATTTTAAATACACCCAATTATCTCTGTATGTATTTGGTTACATTTCGCTCCCAGACATATTTCCCAAAGGCCATTTGGAGCACTATCGATAAATCGCTTCAAATCGCTCCCTTTCCCCACTACACCTATTAGGAATATGATCCCACAAGAGATAGACCGTTCGATAACACCCTTCCCTCGATTTTCAAGTGCTCTCACTTTCTCCTTTCTTCCTCTCTATTTCTGCCATCTCTCCTCATCTGTTTCCCTTTTTTTTTTCGTCCTTTGGCTTCTCTCTCCACCACACCCAACCCTTCTTGTATAGTCTTGCTCTCCCCACCTTAACACCCTAAAGATCACTTCGTTCGTATCCCTGGAGACTAATCTGGTAAAATGCTCGCAGCCGCACTAAACTGGCAGCCATTTTTTTTGTCCCATTTGTATTGTTTTAGAACCATTACTAACCACAATAAATAAATAAATTCAACAATGTAAAATTAATCTCTCTCCCTCCTGACTCTAGCGTTGCCCATAACAACGCTTTTATCAGGAGCAAAACGGAAAGCACACTTTGTCAGGAAATCTTTTTAAAAAAATTCACTCCAGCCATTGGCTAACGAGATGCGACGTCATAACGTCAAGCCCGCAACAGTGCTATTGTCACAGAGATTTTCTTTTTCGGATCAGTAAATGACAAACATAAAACCTGTTGCTCTGTAGTGTCGTTTCCTGTCTCTTTAAAGAAAGTGTTTCGCTTGTTGTCGTCGGTTTTGTGGTGCATTTTTTCAGATTTTAGTAGCACGAAACTTATAAGTACATCCTGTTCCCGATGCTCATACTGTTTATTGGTTTTTTATCTATCAGGAATTTCAATGACTTTTCCTGTCAAGTAACAGTCATAAGATCCAGGCGGGCATTGACAACGGACGGCAGCTCTTCGATAAAATTTGGACTAAAAATTCCTAAAATCTCGATCTTAATTTTTTTTAACAAACTCTTGAAGCTGGTTGTCTTTAGAATAAAAAAAGTCTTTTCATCAAAGCATTTTTCAGCGATGAAATAACAATTGCGGCAACGCTCCGTGAATATGGCAGTTGAGGTTAGAACATACCGTGCGAGTAACAATTTTTTCCCCTTGTGTTTCTCTTGCTGTATGTGGTCTTCATGGAAAAAAACAACGTTTTTTTTTCTTATCGACGAACATAGGAAGCTTTTCAAACGAATTGTTGCAGCTGCTGGACGTATATATGTGCATTTTGGGACCTATTGCGTTTTAAGAACACAAAATGAATAATGGTCCCGATGATCCCACCACTTTTGAAATATGACGTAGTCCCCTTCTCCACTGTTTTAAATTCAGAGATTTTGTTTTTGTTACCATCTTAGGCTAGAGAGTCCTCTCTGTTCTGTAATTTCACTCATAACTGGAAGGGATTAATTATAGGTTTCTGTAAAAATATGGTATTAGTTACAGGTTTCTAAAAGAAATTTGATTTTATCATTTCACCCCAAACAAGGCAATAAAGCCACTAAGACGCAAGGTGTGAGAGAATATGAAAAAAAATATGAATAAGGGGAGAGAACAATAAAAGAACAAAAATTAAGAGGACAGATGATAACGATTGGGATTTCACTTAAATTTGTGAAGATCAAACTTAACTGGAAAGCAAGAAGCCAGAAGATAGGTTCAGAAACGAGAAGCGCGAGAGAAGAAACTGTCACCATAGAACCTACGGTTACATCTAGCCAGCTCAACTGTAAAATGGTGAGACCTTGCCGCCAATCTAGTACTGCGCTTAAAATCATAAAATCTAGCTACCATAGAGTAAAGCTCATCAGAATTCAGTCAGTTATGCGTCATGCGTGATACGCGTTTTAGGCGATCCTTTCGATACATGACTGACGAGGCAGATTTTTTTTTCCCGCGGTAGCTTGCTATTTCTTTCTGCAGTAGATCAGTTTCCATCCAAGCTTATAGAACCCAGTCTCTCCCGCTATTTACCCATAGCTAGGGGGGGAAGAGAATAAGAAGAGGATTCACACCTTTCCCAAGGGTATTAGCACGTATGTGAATGTAATGGATTCGACTGCAATTTGAATTCGTCTCACGCTATTTATTACTCCAACGCGCCACATCAAAATTATCATGAAAATATTTCTAGAAAACGTATAGGGAAGCTATGTCACGTTTGAATGGTGTTAACTGGGGACATTTTTAGGGCTGAGACGATTTCCGGCAAAACAATAATATTGATCTATAAAATTATTAAAGTATTTAAACGGAATCCCATGTTAGAAGTATATTACACGCATTATAATGACTCATGACAGGTTCACTTAAGGCGAATACTTTCAAACATTAGGCAGAAATGCATAGAAAATTATCAAGTACAAGTCTAAAAGGGAGAAAATTAATTGTCAAATTTTGTGAGTTGGAAAAGAAACAGATGCTATTCTACTTAAAGCCGATTCTATAGAATTGAGAGAATCGATAAAAGATGTAGGGAAAGTAGTACAAATTTATATTTTCACCAATGAACAAATAATACAAGATTTTCAGGAAAAAGTTTACAAATAATATTCATGATTTAAAAAGAAACAAATTTACCTATCTAACTGTTGTAACTTAGGGAAGTTTACTGAACAGAATAATCACACGAAGTTTAGTAATAAACGATAATACTTAGGACAAGAAAAACACATATAAGATTCGCCAGCGGCGCGTAGAAAAAGTAGTCAGTTGCTAGATGTGAGCCAAGTGAATTTCACAATGAATCTCCAACTGCAGGATATCTAGCAACACGTGGTCAGATGTGGCACAAGGCCGAATTTAATGTGGGTTATCAGAGCCCGTAGGCTCGGCAAAAAATTCCCCGTATGTCCCGTATAATACGGGGTCGGGTAGCTGCTTCCCGAGACGAGACTCTGCTTTCCGACATAGATTTGTCTGGGGATCCTCTCTGCCCAAAGGCAGAGCGTTTGACCAGCATAGCTGGAGACGAATCTTCGACTGCAGGATATTTACTAACCGCCCCACGCGGTCAGATGTGTCACAAGGCCGAATTTAATGTGGGGTATCCGAGCCCGTAGACTAGGCCAAAAATTCCCCGTAGACTACGTATAACACGGGGTCAGGTAGTTGTTTCCCGAGACAACAATCTGCTGTTCGACATAGCCTCGCCTGGGGATACTCTCTGCTCAGAGGCAGAGTGTTTGGCTAGCACAGCTGGAGACAAATCTCCAACTGCAATATTTATTTGTAATAAAATACAAAATGTGGCACATTGTCAAAAAAGGGGTGGGGAAAAAGACGGTCTTCATCTGTCTTAATTTAAACTTAGCTAGCCACAAACACTGACCCAGATATACAAACAATATTCCTAACACCAAAACAATGCATTCTTACTTACCTTTCTTACTACATCCACCATAATACCTCATTGTCTCTATGAAAATCCTAAATATACCCCATATGCACAATTCATTGTCTTTGGGGTGGGGAATAAGACAACAATTTAAAATCTAGCCACAATGTGTATTTACAATAAGAAAAGAAAAACTATTTACATGAAACGAAACAAAATAGTATTAGTAATAAAAACCCCACAATCCCTAAATGTGGCAGAAACATCAGTTAACTGGACGAAATCAACGAGGGACGATAATAAAATAAAACATTTGTTTATTCCAAGCACTCACGCAGACACACACTCATTAAGACACAACAATAAATACGAAAAACACACTCGAAACGAAAGGTGTCCCGCATCCACCAGAGAACTGATATCACTGACCACCTATAGAGGGATGGGATGGGGAATTAAACTAAAAAAAAATAGGGATAGAAATAAAAGGAAGAGAACAGGTGGCCAGTCTGTCCACACTTCGAGCATGTCGGTCTTCTGGTCCGCTACATTCAGGCAGTTGGGAATGGAGATGAAGGCTTTCCGGTCTATCATGATTTCGAAACTTCATCCCTCTGTCGAATCGTCAGAGGAAGCACTGAGTAACTAACCAAATTGGCACAGATAAGCGACCAAGCGCTCCCCGACGATCTGAGATGGAACCTCAAATAATGATACTTGGCTCCTCCGACTGCCTTCATATAATGTACACAGAAGAAGGTCTTTGGCTATGAGATCACGACTAGAAGCGGCTTCACAGTCGGAAGGCGTGGGTAGCAGTACGTCCCACATAAAAATTTCCTTTGCTTTGATCACCCTCTGGTGTTTGATCCCCAGAGAAACTAGTGATTTAATTACGGTGTCTTTTGTGGAGCGACAAATTTTGCTCGAACGCTTGTCTACCACCAAGATTGACACAATTCTTTTCTCAATTCTCTTTAATTCCTCGGGATGGACCAAAAGGCCATCTGCAGTCACCAGATGTGCGTAACTTTTGGCTTTCTCAAGGAACTCCGTGATGTTGATTGAACACTTAGGTGGGGACGTCCAGCAGAAAGGTATCTCTCCGGCCAGTACATTTTCGTCTTTAGTTTTGTCATCTTCAGCTGCTTTTGTCTGTTTTGGTGAATTTTGACCACTTTTGGCCTCAATAGTTTCGTCTGATTTCGTCAAGTTTTCAGTATTTTGGAACTTTCCAACTAACATACTCTCAGTGGAAATATCGGCAACAACTTCATGCTGTTTGGTCTTTTCGTCGTTGACTGATTTCCTCGTCACATTCTCTTGTTTATTCTCCTGCTCCTTGTCGGGAGGGTCTTTCTTTTTCCTTTTGGTCCCGAAAAGATTTTTACGAATCATTTTGAAAAGTGTGTGTGTGTGGGGGGGTTGTTTTTTTGTTTTGTTTTGTTTTTATTTTTTTCTATTTAAACAGAACCAAAAAATAGTAAAACTTTTCAGACAAATTAAGGACTTGAGAAGAAAAATGTGAACAATTGATCACAAATACAAACGAAAAAATAAATATGCACAAAATTAGTACGGAAAACAAAAGTTCAAACGAAAAATACCAAAAAACGACCGTTATACGAACGAAGACCCGAAAAAATGCACGAAATAAGGTAAACTACAAAGAAAATACTTTAAACAACAATAAACCTTTTTTTAAACTAAATATAAAAGTAAAAAAAAAGACAATGTATAAACACGAATACGAAACAAACAATACGTATAAACTAAACAAAAAAATTCAATATGGCTGCCGTAAAAAGGGTTCGCCGATGAACGAAATACACAAATAGAATTAAAAAATGGACAGATTAGACTAAATAAACGCAAAAAATTAGAACAAACAAGAACACGGAAGAATAAAACACAGAACAGTAAACGGATATTTAAAAGGAAAAAACAAAGAACAAAGTAAGACGTAATAAATAACACGTAATAAATAAACAAAGAAAAATAAAGTCGGACGATGACAAAAGAATAACACATACAAAAAATAAACAGATATGCTCTTGAAGGGGGATATAAAAAATCAGATGAAACGGAAAAAATAACTTTTAAAGGAAGCTTAATAGTAAAACTCAAAAACTAATAGCAGAAGTATAAATACAAAATAAAAGGAAAAATAAAAGTAGGAATGTAATAAATTGAAAAAAGAAAAGAAAAAGAAGAAAATTAAAAAACTTTTTCAAATAACAGTAAAAAAAAAAAGAACGTAAAAAAGTAAAATAAATCAGAACTTTAAACGGAGTTTGTAGAACATAAAAAAAGAATTTCCTAACATAGCAGAAAAACGGTCGTATCAGGTCTCGTAAGGACTTCAATACTGGCTGAATCTCCGACTGCAGACCAACATACGGTATTTACTACTGTA